GGGAGCCTGGCTGCAGCCCCGCGGGCTCGGAGCCTAGGGTTTAACCAAGGAAATGCCCATTTCATGGCATTATTTTTAAAACAATAATGCTGCCCGGCCGGGCGTGGCTCAGCGGTGGAGCGTCGACCTAGGACCCAGGCGATCGGGTTCGATTCCCGGCCGGGGCACAGGCCCGGGGCGACCCCCAGTCGGGGCGCGCAGGAGGCAGCCGATCGGTGACTCTCATCATTCATGTTTCTCTCCCTCTCCCTTCCTCTCTGAAATCAATAAAGACATATTTAAAAACTAAAAATAAAAAATGAATAAATAAAAAAAAATAGTACAACTGTGTGGAAAGATTGGCCTGCAGCTCGTAATTCTGAAGTTGGGTGAAAAATACATGATGTTCATTAGTTTCTCTACTTTTGTAATATTTAAAAATTTCCCCCAAAGAGCTGATGAAAGCAGGGAGAAACTGTGTAATTAACTATAAACCTAAGAGCTGGACCTTGAGCCTTCCTTTTATACATTCCCATCTTTACTCCCTCTCTTCCTTCCCCACCACCCTTACTCCACATCTTCCTACTTTTCTTTTCTGCCATGAGAAGAGCAGCGACTGAGGTTCTATTTCAGGGAGCGGAGCAGGAAAACCAGTTTAACTCAGGCAACTGTTTCTGGGGAGGGCAGGGAGGAGCCTGGGCAACATCAGGTGCCTGCCAGAGACATCAAAGAAAAAGGAGCCTGGGTCAGCTCAGCCTGCCTAGAGCCGGACACCTCCTGCAGGTGGTGGCAGAGACCCAACGCTGACTACAAACCTGAAAGCAACTGTTCCCTTTTCGTAAATGACGTTGGCAAAGGCTGGGACTGAAAAACTTTCCCAGGTGAACTAAACTCTATTCAGTGAATGCTTAATGAGGGCAAATGGAGTGAACATACCTCCTGCCTGTGGTTAGACTAGAAATTCAGAATTGATACACTTGAGCTCTTTAACAAGATTATATGTCAAATAAGTGATACTATATATCATATATATATAGTATATATATATATAACATGGGAGCAGTCAATCAAGACTTAACCACGGTCTAAAAAATAGAATTTGGACTACACAATATTGGAGAACTTGGCATCAGCGCAGACAGTGATTGGGGGGGAAAAAAAAGTATATGGAATTCAGAAACACTAAAGTTCTAGATCTTATTAATTTTATGTGCCTTAAATAGGTTTTCAAGTTGTCAAGCAAATAGAGGTCCAGTAAATGCAAGGACCAAATATTAGTATCTCTGACTGCCATAAGTTAAAAATGTCACAGAGTTTCAATAATTAACCCTCAAAGGATGTTTGTGCTGTATCTGGAGTGCATTTATCATTGATAGCTTTTACAAATACTTAGTGTAAACCTAGGGAACAATCTTACCACCTCAGGAAAAGATGGCTTGCCCATGCCCTTCCACCATTGTAGCTCTTCTAATAAAAAAGAATGGAAACATTGAGATTAAACAGGTGGGTTTTATTATCAAATGTAAATATTCTACAAAAACTCAGTAGTATTGTAAATATTACTGCCTATCAAAGTCTTTCAGAGCTTTGGGCAGACAGCATCTTAAGGCATCAAGTATAAAGAACTTTTTTCTGATCTTAAGTGCCAGTTATCACCGATTTTCACACAAAATTGTTTTGTTTTTTAATTTTTTTTCCTACTGCAGTTAAAGGGCTATTCCTTATTCCTGGTCAGCCGAAGAGGGGATGTTTGGCTCTCCAAGTGTTAGTCAAAGTAATGCAAAGTAAATAAAAATTAGCAGCCACGAAAATCTGCATGGCACTGCATTCAAGCAAAGGACAATATGAGTAACTTAAAGAAACGTGCACTGAGTTAATCAAATTCCGTTTTCTTCTTTGGAGTTAATGAGGCAGCAATACTAGCTAGCTAGTGTCTAATATTGCACTTCTGTAGCTAGCATAAACACAGCTAAACACAGTGCTAAACACTGACAGCATCAGTACCTGCTCCAATGGGATCAGTGTTCACCTCCCAGTCTAGCATGCTGACTCTAATCCTAGCTTTAAAAAGTTTTAATTATTTGATAGTTAAGGCATTAGAGAAGGTTTAAGGCTATCTTAATATATACAAGCATTCACTTCAGTTAGTACATTGCTGTCTAGAATACACTGTCCAAATATTCTTTTTGTCAGGTTTAAAACTATGGAATTTCTCTTATTAAAGTCCAAACCATCAACAATGGGAAAAGTACAATATAAAATAATACATATGAAGCCACAATATTCAGTTACAGATCAAACTAGAAATTACAAACTACATGCAGTTGCTTCATTTTTGGTTTCGCATTTTGGCCCCTAGAGTTCATTCTTATTTACAACTGGTACCTGCTGAGAAAAAAGATCCAACTTTTAAACTATGTATCTTTTGTGGTGGGTGTGCTATTTCTAATTTATCCCAAAGTGTTTTAAAAATTGTTTTCATTGGGCCTGGCTGGCGTGGCTCAGCAGTTGAGCGTTGACTTATGATCCGGGAGATGGTGGTTTAATTCCAGGTCTGGGCACATGCCCAGGTTTTGGGCTTGATCCTCAGTTGGGGGTGTGCAGGAAGCAGCCAATCAATGACACTCTCATCACTGATGTTTCTCTCTCTCTCTCCCCCTCTCCCTTCCTCTCTAAAATCAATAAAGACATATTTTTTTTTAAAAATTGTTCTCATTGGTTTTTAACTATAAGACATCATGATGGCCAAGAAACTGAGAAAAATATTAATTTTATTTCTAAAGTCTGTGATTTAAGTATTCCAAGACCTTACTCTTGAATTACTTAGTAAGAGGGTATGATTGTGTAGAAAGTAGGGAGGTGGAGAGAGAGGAGCGGGAACACACAAAAATGAAGTTTCCAGAACAGAGTTCTTGGTGGAGATAGTAGACATAAGCGGAGTATTTTTTTCTCCAAGACATAAAACTTAAGAAAAACCCATGATGCCACATTGGCTGGAAGTAATGGAGACATCCAATTTCCAATTCACATTTTAAATGCAATCAGCAAGGAGCCAGACATGCTTCTTGCTATAGGATTTGGCTTCGCTGGCTCAAATTTTCCACTCCACCAAAAGAGAGGGCTCAGGCCCCCTGTCCAATCACGTTTGCTGAAAATACTGCAGCCTGAGTGTAGACAAACTTCCCCTGAAGTTGCTAGAAGATGACTTGGTGTCTGATGGTTTCAGGATCACCATACATCTTTCAAACACTGGAAAAAAAACACAAATAAAAGGAACTATTATAGTCTCGAAAATCTCCAATCCTTAGCAGCCATAATTATTTCACATAAGACAGATCATTTTCAATCTACAAAGTAATACAAACTGTAAACTTAAGAGGCCAAGTATGAAAAATACTCTCCAGTAGAAGTTCCATCGAGTGGGGGGGAGGGGGGGGCGGTTTTGGTATAAAACTTCTAAACACATTGCAAGAGTCTCCAAAAATACCCAATGTAGACAACAGTTTTCCCAAGAGGCAAAGGAAACTATCAAAACAACCTCCATAACTGTTTGTTTTTATAAGCCACCCAGGCCACGGAATTTTGTTATGGCATCCTAAATGGACTTATCCCAGTCCAACCACAAGAAAAACATCAAATAAGTTCAAAGTAAAGGGCAGCTCACAAAACACCTAAAAGCACTATACCTCAAAATTGTCAAGGTCAGGAAAAACAAGGAGAAATGAGAAGCTAACATAAAGCAGGGGACACTAAGGAGACAGGTCAACTAAATGCAAAGTGGGATCCCAGACTGGATCCTGGAGTAGAAAAACAACACTAGTGGAAAAACTGGTGAAATCTGAATAATGTTTGGAATGCAGGTAATAGTCAAAAACATTGCCCCTATGATTATTGTTAACTACAAGCAACAAAATAGCTACTTATTTTTATAAAGAACTGCAGTTTCACCTGGCTGGTGTGGCTCAGGGGTTGAGCATCGACCCATGAACCAGGAGATCAGGGTTCGATTCCCGGTCAGGGCATATCCTGGGTTTCAGGCTCGATCCCCAGTAGGGGGCGTGCAGGAGGCAGCCGATCAATGACTCTCTCATCATTGTTCTCTCTCCCTCTCCTTTCCTCTCTCTGAAATCAATAAAGATATATTTTAAAATAATAATAAAAACTTGCAGTTTCTAAAACTGGTTTACACTCATCAATCTACCCAATTTCCACACACACACAAAAAGACATGTAGAAGCAAATTTATGCCTATTTTACTAAGCAGTGAAACGTCACCTGTGTATGTGTGTGTGTGTGTTGACGGTAGTGAAACACCAAACACTGTGGCCACCTGAAGTTGTCTAGCTAGCTATCAAACCTCCTTCCCTGGAGGGCGCTAGGGTCTGTCAATGGCTTGAGAGATGCCCTTGGGGGTATTTCATGAGAAAGGGGAGGCATACCACCCACAGTAGTTCCTGGAGTACTCAACAGATATTGGCTGGGTTAAGGGGACAAAGCAACCAGAGGGAGAACAAAGTGAAAAGCTACCTTTATCTGATCCTGTGTCATTCTTTCAATCCATTTTTAGAGCACTATACTAGTTTCCTGAGGCTGCTGTTAAACAACACAAATCTGGTGGCTTAAAACAACAGATATTTATCCTGTCACAATTCTGGAGGCCAGAAGTCAGGAATGAAGATGTCAGCCAGGCCGCACACCCTCCAGAGGCTCTAGGTAACAACCTAGTCGTTGCCTCTTTCAGCTTCTGGTGGCTGCAGGCGTTCCTGGGCTCCAGACTCCGCCTCCATGGTCACACTGCCTCCTCCTCTCCTGTGTGTGTCTGTCTGATCTCCCTCTGCCCCTTATAACTCCGTTTAGGGCCCACCCAGATAATATAGGATAAGCTACTCTTCTCAAAATGCTTATATTATATCATTTGTCATATAAGGCAATAAATAGTCACAGGTTCCAAAGGACTGGGATATGGACATATCTGAGGCCACCATTCAGCCTACGACAGTCACTTAACTCTACAGTGCTCTTATGTGGTCAGTGGAAAAGAGCCCCAGGCCTGAAGCCAGGAGTTCTGGCTCCCTTGGTCAGCTTGGGCAAACGTATGGCTCTGACAGGTGTCTGGCCACCCTGGGTTTAACTTGCCCGTCTGTCAGGTGGAACCATGGGGACCTGCCCTGATGCCTCACAGGGCTATGTTGAGACTCAGATGGGGTTGTAGGTATAAGAGTGAAAGCCACTCTGTTGGTATAAAATATGAGTTGTGATATTAAGTTTGATATTTAGGTGAATGAGAAAAATATGTAAATATATAATCACAGTATAAAGTTAAGGGGAAAGAAACAAGGTCTAAAATTGCATGAGGACATCCAAAAAAAAAAAGCTGACAGAAAATATTGTGGTTATTTCTGGATGGTGGGATTATTAGCGTTTCCTTTGTACCTGTCTATACATTCCCAATTCTTTATAGTGAGCCCATAATACTTTCACGATTCTTACCTCCCAGGGTTGTTGAGATAACCTATGCCAAGTATTTCACACAGTATCCTGTGTGATGTTTTACAATTCTCAATATAAAGGCAGATGAATCTGATGGGTTATTAGAAAAAGAAAACTCAGGTATCTGGATTTTAGCAAAGCACCTGATTTGTTATTCTACCATGACCCCAAATATAAAAGCCTAAGATAGATTTAGAGGCAACCTTTAGAATTTAGGACATTTCTAATGTAGCGTCAAAAGGTTCCATTTATAATCACTTCTTATTCAATCTACTCATTTTTGGACAGCTAGTATGCTTACCGAATTCACAGACAGCGTTAAGGGCTGTGAGTAAAGAACATATGGAGAGACAAAGTATGAACCCAAGCGAGTATCGACAGGCTAGGATAGTGTGTTCTTGCCACTGTGCACTACACTAGGAAACACCCCATTCCCACCGCTCAGGATCTGGGCACGATGCTCTCTGAAACCTCAGTGAAAGTGGCAGAGGATCATCACTTCCAACCCAGACCTGGAGTTTCCACAGCTTCAGAGTGAGAAGGTAAGACCTCAGTTGTAATTTCTCAAGGGCAACACTGTCCTGGCAACCCCGACTTCAACATAGAATCCATATGGTTGAAGCCCACAGAGTCCTCAGCCATGAAAATGTTGGCAGAATTTGAGAACAACGTGTCAGCGAGCCCATTCCAGCAAACCCAGCGATGAGAGAGAAAGAAGGTGTCCCTAATCTCCACCCCAGGAGCCTCACCCAGGGCGCACTGCCCTTTAAGGAAAGGCTACAGGCTAGCAGAGAAAAACAGACAACTAGCTACCTTCAAAAAAGCTTTATCGGGGTTCCTTCCCTGACAAAGTTTTAGAAGAAGAAAAAGATATGACACACAAACCTTGCAGTCATTTTGGAACAGGTCAAGTTCATACTCTGGTGAACCTCAAAAACATTACGCTAAGCGAAGAGCTAGTCATGGAAGGACACGTAGTGTGTTGTTCCACGTATGAGGTTACTGGAATAGTCAAATTCGTAAGAACAGAAAGAAGAATGGCAGCTGCCAGGAGCTGGGGGAAGAGGGAAGTGGGGATTTACTGTTTAATGTAAACAGAGTTTGAGAATATGAAAGAGTTCTGCAGCTAGACAGTAGTGATGGTTATACGACATGTGAAATGTACTTAATGCCACTGAACTGTACACTTAAAATGCTTAAAATGGTAAATTTTACCTTATGTATAATTAAAGTCACACACTATATAATTCCATTTATATGAAATATCCAGAACAGGCAAATCCATAGAGATAGGAAGCAGATTAGCTGTCAGGGTTTACGAGGAGAGAAAACAGGGAGCTAAAAATGTATCGGAACTAGACAGAGATGGCTGCTGTACAATCGTGAACAAACTAAACACCACCAAATTGGATACTTTAAAATGATTAATTTTGTTATGTGATTTTTACTTCAATTAAAAAAAAAAAAAAGCATTCCTAACCTATAGTCCATATGAGCTATAGCAAGTGAATTTCCAAATTAGAAAGTTTCCCCTTATGCCAAATCACATACTGTTACCCATAAGTGTTGCTTAGATCTACCTACTTAGATGGCAACCTTAACTGCAGTCTCCATCCCTTCCAGGATTTCTGACACCTACGTTGCACTAAAGAAAAGAGGAGGCCTCTCACCTGATTCCTAAAAGAACACTTGCAGATTCCTGACCTCTATTTGGCCCTTTATAATTTACCTTTTGTATCACAGAGCCTTACCTTCTTTTCTGAGGATGCTCTAACTGCTGGGACCCTTAAATACAAACCCATTCTTTGGGTAGAGTCCTGGCCTGGTCATTTGTGTGTACAAGTCCATCCTCGGTTGCATACTACAATGCAAGTTAAAACAAACAGGGTCAAAGGATGGACAAACCGTCACTACGGATGGTTAGTGCTTCAACTGAGCAGATCTACCAACAGAATTATAGGACATTTAGAAGACAGAAAACAGGTTAACACTGGTACAAGTCACACACATTAACTGTTAATCCCAAGTCTTCATTTGTTACTTAACATGTCTAAATACCTTAAAAATCCCTTCTAGGAGGAAAGTTAGATTGAACATATGGAAGTCAAGTTAAACACACACACACACAGCACCATACCACAGTAAACAGCACCAAACACTTCAGATCCTGCTAAGAGTACAGTTTCCATGATACCACAGGTATGACTAGATATCAAATATTTAAGCACCAACTATTTGCAAGGTATAGTAAAATAAGCCCAATATGGGCTAACAACTGTCAACTTTAAATCGTATTAGATGTACCTGTAACACTGATCTAATCTCAGTAGGAGAGCAGGTAAAACTCTGAGCAGTGAAAGGCCCAAAGAGATAATGATGTGTCAGTACTTGAAGGAGAAACAAAAACTAGCACTTACTGAAAATGCAAAATCTTTGACAGTAAAGGGATGAAAAGAGCAAATGAAAGACGTGAAGGGAATTCCTTAAGGATTCTTGAGAGTCCATTTCAGAATGATAGACCCATCAACTAAAATATAGATACAGGTTTATTTTCATTACCAGAATGGCACTCTCAGCATCAAATGTTCTCATGGTAGTTAGTGATCTTGCTTAGGCCACCAGAATTCTTCCCTTTGTGGAAACCCTGCCCTTTGCAGCTTTGCACCCCGACCCTCACCCTTAATGAAGTATGGAAAACTTACGTTGAAATAGTTTTATAGAAGGAATTGTGCTGAGAGTAGGGGAAACATACCTCCAAAAGCTGTACTTAAAGAGAACAGAAGTATAGAGAATGACATATACATTATACCAAGATGTATTTTTTAAAGACAGAATCAAACTACTGAGAGATTTCATCCCCTCAACCAATTATCACCAAGGACTTGCTTAATATAAGTAAATTATATACTTATACAAAAGATTTTGAATGCATGCATTGTAACTATCTTAAAGCTCAAATTACTGAAGATGACACTGGAATAATTTTATATACTGAACTGAAAATTTGAGGTTCCTATATAATCCTAATTCATTGGGACAATTCATAAATTCCAGGCACTTCAGAAATGAAGGTCAAATGCCTTGAGATGAAATCATTTTGGACAACCTTTCGGCTTTTGATATCAGATAACTCTACCCCAACACTGATGGCTCCTTAGAAGCTACTGGAAGATAAACTGCTGCAGACTGAAGTTATTTTATCACAATTTAGGAGCATGCCAATATTTTAGCCACAAATCTAGAAATAATTGTTATTACTAATTTGTGGTAAAATAAATACCAACAAACGCCAGCCATGGCACTCTTAGTAATAGCAGCAATTTTGCTTAATCTCATAACCAACTTATGTGCACAACTGGCAATTCCGTTCAGTGTGAATGTAAAAGTTGATTCATGAAAATAAAAAAGAAATTAATTCAGCTCACCACTAGAACCTAAAAATTTGCTTGTACTTTGTAGAATTGAAAAATAGGGGAAAATGCAAAACTCAAATGTTTGCTCCTCAAGATTAAGCAACCTTTTTAAAAGCCTTTGATAAAACTCTCTATTCCTTTCATAATCTAATGAATAAGATACGAAATCTGAAAAGTAACTTTAAAAAAAAATCTCTGCAAGGGCTTCTTCTGCCAGGCAGCTTAATTGTTTAGGAAAGAAGCCATAGATTATCTACTGCTCTCTGAAAAAAAAAAAACCATACTTCTGGGAGGAATGTCCAACTTCATTTAGTTTTTCAATCAGACACAGATTTTCCTCATGTCAGAAAATAGCCTTTGTATGTTCAAAGCCTTTAGGATCATTATGGTAACGTGGTAGATCTGGGGCATCTCCAGTGAGATAATTTTAGTTGAGCTCCACAATTCTCCATGATTCATGGACACCAAGCTTATAAACCCATGCTAACAGCAAAACAGCCTCTGCAGGCACAAGCCTTAAAATGCTGTACCGTAAACGACCAAGGGCTATTTTAGGATTTGATAATTATGCTTCTCAACTCTAAAGACTCAAGCAAAGTTCAGCTCCAAGAAGAAAGACAATTTTTGCTATTAGTGCAATTAAAAGGCTGTATGACAATGACTTTTAGATATAGCAAGAAAGAAGAATCCAGGTTCTAGGTATAATGTGATTTATGGAAAGGTGTCTGCTCAGATGAGATGGCAATGAGGAGATTTTGCTCATTGTTAAAGAAAAATCCCATTTTTTCAGCTTAAGTAAGAAAACAACTGATGGATACAGGCAGTGGTAGAGAAACTGACAAGGGTAATACCAGTTTCACAAGAATTAACCTGCAGATCATTACATAAAAGGCTCACTGGGCATCCCACAGCTCATTTTAAGGAGTTACCATCTAAAAACTCATGGGGTCTCCTTTGTTTTATCCAGGATAGGCAGAGAGACCTCTGACAACTTCTTAAATATTCAACTTTAACACCATGTTTAAGTATTTTTCTGTTAGTCAAGAATTTGACTTTGGCCCCAGCGGGGTGGCTTAGTTAGAGTGTTAACCCGTACACCAAAAGGCTGCAGGTTCAATCCCGGGTAGGAGGCAACAGATCCACGTTTTCCTCACCTCTCTCTCTCAATAAAAACAAACAAACAAATATATCCTTGGGTGAGGATTTTTTTAAAAAAGGAGCTTGACTTTTATAAAAAATCCTTAGCAAATCCTACTCTAGATTGAAAGACCCACACTGCTCTAGGTCCTAAAGAGCTTTTCCGAAAGGGCACCAACAGATTAAGTTGAAATAGTAAAAATAGCAAGGAAACGCCCTAATCTTGTCAAAGGGATGAGTCTGATGTTCGCACTCCAGGCGGACCCCAGCTCATTTTGCCTCTATAAGCCATCTGGTAGCACTTGTACACACGCGAGTTTCAGAGAATCGGTTTCTTTCCTGGCTGCATTCTTTAGGCAAATCAACTCAAGTATTAAGGGCACTGAATATTTTTCTTCTTCAAGCTACTGACCTGGTAACCTTGGAAGAAGTTAAGAATTTCCTTAACTCCAGTATTGTAGGCCAGGCCCTGCATTCTGACCACCGTGCCAGGCTGAGGTGGGACACTGCTAAGATTAGCAGCTGAAGGGAAGTAGCCAAGATTATTGGGCGAACCTGGGGGGCTAAAGGAAGAGAAAGTACAGTGAACCAATAGGAACAGACAACGTCGAATATTTACTCTACAAACATTAGTTACTTAAGGAAACAGACTCTCACAGGTGATCTTAGACTTCTCAGAGTTCTCTCCCCCAAGCCAGGTAAGAACGCCATAGCTGTTCTGTCCCACATTTCCAGAAAAGCCAAAAGTTGAAAGGTAGAAGGATTAATGCAGAGTTAAACGCAGGGCTTCCCCAAAGATCCAGTTCTGTCTGAGATTCTTAAAGGAACAGGAAGGAGAGAATTAAGCCTTTAAGGTCACTCAACCACAAAGCCCCACTTCCAAAGCCCGGCTCATTGATGATTAACTGGCTGGTTATCAGGAATACTAAGGCAGGAAATGGCATGAATACAAAAGACTAACAAGAACCACAGCCACAGAGACCAAAACCATTTGAAGTGGTTTTTCCAAGGAGCAGACTGTTCTACCCACACACACAAGCAAAGGTACAGCACAGCAAGCAGAGCACAATACATAGCAAATTACTGTGGCACCTATGAGTTATTCCTTCCAACTTGACAAAAAGAGAGAGGACGAGGTGCTGGGTAAATTGGAAGTAATTCACAACAAACTAAAACCAATCACCATTAACACAAGGGGAAAACTGATGTATGCGTCCCTCTTGGTGGATCTACAGCAATCACCCCCCAAGGAACACATACCAAGTAAACACCTAATTATTCTTCATATGGCAACTCAAGTAATCACCGTATTATAGAATTAGTTTCACCCTGTTCCCCACCCAATCTGTTTTCCACCACAATTAGTGGCCAGAAACCCATAACTGAAAATATAGGGGAAATTTTTAAACAAGTTATTAGCTTAAAGAGCAATAAAGACCCACAGTTTTAGATTATTAACCCTTATAAATCTTTCTAAGTAAGTGACTATCCCATTTCAAAGACAAGTAAACACAAAATGAGAGGCACTAAAAGCCTTTGAGCTGATCTATCCTACACAATCCTAACTAATGGGCTAATAGGAATGATGCCAGACGTGCACCTAGCTCCAGACTCCATGTTTTTATGGCACAGCAGCCAGCCCTGAACAAGTCACCTGCTTGACAGCCCTGTTCTTCGGGTTCAATGACTAAACATGCCAAGTTACTCCATAAGCCATACATGCAATCATGTGTTATTTCACTTTTGCTATTTCCATAACCATCATTCTACTTCATCATTTTAAAAATATGGGAGCCTGAAAATATTACTTCCCATCAAGCTGCCCTTAACCTTTTCAGTTTCTAAAGCAGTGATCCTCAACTTGTTTGCCCGTTAGGGTCACTTGGGGAGATTTTTACAACTCCCTCTGAGGAAAGCCTGTTAAAAGTCAATCCATGTGCAACTGTGAGATCAGAGAGGGAAGGAGGGATGCTGTTTAGGCCTGAGTAGGACAGCCACACGTCCTCATTTTTACAGAGATAGGAACGGGAGACCAAGAGTTAAATAGTTTCCCAAGGTCACACAAACAGTGCTTCACCAAACCAAGAGAACCACCGAGACCTCTCAACTTCTAGTTCAATGCTTTCCCCCATAAAACCACCATTCATCCAAAGACCATTATCTGCTCATGTCAAATGTCTGATAAACACTAACTTGAATATTCAAAGACCACGTAATTTTATTACTAGTTACTCAGATTTTCCAAACTGGATATGGAAGTCAGTTCATTTCCATAATATACAACTTACTTCCAAGGCCCTGTCCTGGTATATTCCATTCCTTTGGCTAAAGACCACCTATAAAGTGGAGGCATCTAGTAACTTCAAACGACAACTAAGATAAAGTAAAAAGATAAAAGTTATCCACCTGGAAATTCAAGGTTTCAAAATTATGTTCACCATGTATAAGGTACACATATTCCAATGAAGCCCAAACGTAACACAACCTGGATTCACATCCATATTTCTTGTATTAGGGCTACCTGCTGTATACAAAGGCACCTCAAGGAAAATGAAACAATCTGTATAACTAACAAGGCACGTGAATAAGAATTTTCTATCAACCTACATTCCAAGATCTTTTACATTATTGAAATAACAATCAGCAAAAATGAAGTAATCTATAGAATGAAAGTGATAGGACAGAGACAAGGTAAACTTCAATATGTAGAAAATAAAATAGAATTTACTGATAAACTACTATAACTAATAAACCAGTTCAGCAAGGTTACAAGATAAAAGATCGATACACAAAATAAATCAACTGCATTTCTATACACTACTGTGTGAACTATCCAAAAAGGAAATTAATAAAGCAATTCCATTTACAATAGCATCAAAAAGACTACTTAGGAATAAAATCTAGCAACTCTTATACACTGAAAACCACAAAACATTATGAAAAAAATTAAAGATCATCTAAATAAACAGAAAGGCAGCTCATCATAAACTTTCTAAATTGTACAGATTCGATGAAATAGCTGTCAAAATTCCAACTGGCTTTCTGCAGAATTGATAAAACTGAGTCTAAAACACACACGGAAATGCCAAGGACCCAGAAAAGCCAAACTATCTTGAAAAAGATGAAGTAGGAAAAACTTAGCATTTTTGAAATTCAAAACTTACTACAAAATGACAGTAATCAAGATGGTGTGGTACTCCCTTGATGGCAGGCAATGATCAATGGAACAGAACTGGGACCGGAAATAAACCTTTACATTTATGGTCCATTAAATTTTTACCGGGGTTCTAAGATAATTCGATGAAGAAAAAAATAGTTTTCAATAAATGGTGCTGAAACAAGGGAATATCCACATGCAAAATGATGAATTTTGACCTCTACCTTATCTTATCCTACATAAAAAAAATTAATTCTAATTTGGTAATATACCGAAATATGAGCTAAAACTGCAATATTTTTATAATATGTCATAGGAAATCTTCATGACCTTGGGTGACATGTGACAAAAGTATACATGAGAAAAGAAGAAAAATAAATTGGACTTCATCAAAATTTAAAACATTTGTGGTTTAAAGCACACTATCAAGAAAATGAAAGAGAACCCAGAGACTGGGAGAAAATATTTGCAAATCATATCTTATAAGGTCTGTTATCTAGAATATATAAAGAAGTTTTACAACTGAAAAACAGTAAGAAAAATAAGCCAATTTAAAAATGTGCGAAGGATTTGAATAAGCATTTCTCCAAAGAAAATAACTGAATGGCTAATAAGTTTCTCAAGTTAAACATGAAGACAAGATCCATGCAAAAATAAAAATTAAAAAAAAACTAGACCACCTTCTTCTTCTTCTTCTTTTTTAAATATGTTTTTATTGATTTTGAGAGAGGGAGAGGAAGGGAGAGGGAGAGAGACAGAAACACAGAGGAGAGAGAGACATCATGCACTGCCTCCTGCACACTCCCAACAGGGGATCAAGCCTGCAACCCAGGCCTGTGCCCTGACCAGGAACTGAACTATGACCTCCTGGTTCCTAAGTGATGACAAGCAAGTATCTACAACCAAGATCACTCTACCCAGCAAGGCTATCATTTAAAAATCAAAGGAGATAAAGAGTTTCCCAGACAAGAAAAAGCTAAGGAGTTCATCACCAGTAAACCAATAAGACAAAAAATGTTAAAGGGACTTCTAAGGTAAAAAAATACAAATAAGAAAATACAGGAAAGACAAAAATTCTCACTGACAAAGGCAAGCACATCATAAAAGCAGGTGGGGGAAAAGGTAAAGGGATTAAAAAATTTGAAAAAAGAAAAACAAATTCACAGAAACACACAACAGTATGGTGATGACCAGAGGGAAAGGGGGCTGGGGGGAGGTAGAAGAGAGTAAAGGGGGGGATAAATGGTCCTGGAAAGAGATTTGACTGGGGTGATGAACACACAATGCAATGTACAGATGATGTGTTACAGAGCTGTACACTTAAAACCTATAAATTTTATTAACCAATGCCACCCTAATAAACTCAACAAAAATAAGAAAGCAACAGTTTAAGGAACAAAATAAAACTACAAAAACAATCAGAAAGGAATAAAATGGCAATAATTATACACCTATCAATAATTACTTTAATTGTAAATGAATTAAATACTCTAATCAAAAGACACAGAGTGGCTGAATGGATACGAAAGCAAGAGCTGCACATACGCTGCCTCCTAATGACCCGAACCAGATCAAAAGACACACACAGGCTGAGTGTAAGCGGATGGAGGAAGATATTTGCCAGTGATACGTTCCATAAAGTGTTAATACCCAAAATTTATAAAGAACTCATATAACCCAACACCAAAAAACCCAAACAATCCGATTACAAAATGGACAGACAACTTGAACAAACATTTCTCCAAAGAGAACATACAAATGGCCAACAAAGATCTGAAAAGATGCTCACCATCACTAATCACCAGGGAAATGCAAATTGAAACAATCGGATTATCTCCTCACACCTGTCAGGATGGTCATTATCAATAAATCAACAAACCACATGTGCCAGTGAGGATGTGGAGAAAAAGGAACCCTCGTGAATTGTTGGTGGGATTGCAAGTTGGTGGTACCACTATGGAAAACAGTATGGAGGTCCTTCAAAATATTAAAAATAGAGCTACCATATGCCCCAGCAATTCCACTTCTGGTCATTTAGCCAAAGAAACACAAAATGCACCCCTATGTTTACTGCAGCATTATTTATAATAACCAAAATATGGAAGCAACCTAAGGGTCCATCACTAGATGAATGGATAAAGAAGATGTGATACATATATACAATGGAATAATACTTGACCATTAAAAAAGAAATATCTCGCCATCTGCAATAGCATGGATGGCCCTACAGGGTACTATGCTAAGCGGAATAAGTTAGACAAAGACAAATATGGTATGATTTCATTTATATGTGGAATCTAAAAAACAAAATAAGTGATCAGAAACAAACTCATAGATAGAGAACAAATTGATGGTTACCAGATGGGAGGGGGGTTGAAGAGGTGGGTGAAAAATGTGAAGGAATTAAGAAGTACATATGGGCAGTTATAATACAGTCAGTAACACTGTAATAATTATGCATGGTATCAGGTGGGTACTAGACATATCAGGGTGATCACTTTGTAAGTTTTATAACTGTCTAATCACTGTTGTACATAAGAAACCAATATAATATTGTATGTCAACTATAATTTAAAACATTTTCCTAGAAACCAGTAAAAAAAGTTGATTCTAAGAAAGTTCTAAATAAGTCTCATTTTGGAATGTTAGTAAAGATTTAGGGGAGAAAGAACACAAGCTGTGTACAACTTAAAGTAACTTCTTATTTATTGTGGGGTAACATGAATTAATAATGCTATGTAAAACTATAATTGTCGTCATTAAGGATTTTCCTGTTTTTAAATTCATTCACAAGATACTGCCACCCTACTGCAACGATCACAGTGCCCCCCTCACTTATGGCCCTAAGAAAGGAGAAGGGGAAAAAGTAAAGTTGTATACAAAAATAGCCTAAAAGATGTTGTTAATACATGGTTAAAAAATAAATCTATTTCAGTTTGTCTTGAAACAACCTTCGTGCTTAGAGATGACCAGAAGCTACTGCCCACCAGGCTAACCTTCGATGCGGCAGACAGTGTTCCTCTGTGGGCTCGGGCACTGGCTATCAAAGGCGCCTTTTGTTTCCGTGCCTCATTTCCACTTGCACCGGGGCCTTACCTGGGGTAGTACGCGGTGTAGTTCATGAAGAGCTGCGTGCCTGCCGGGTAGTAGGCTGTGGAGGGCTGCAGAGCCCGGGGGTTCAAAAGCAGAGAGGGCTGATAAATGGCAGCTTCAGTAGGAATCACCGCTGCAGGAGCTGGAAATGTGTAGGAAGGAGGAGACAGGCCTAAATAAGCAGAGAGAGACACTTTGAGACCTTTGAAACAGTTGACGCATACGTGCTAGCACTAAAGGCATAAGGTTACTATTGCATATACACGTTTTCAAGTAAGAAAGCAATTCTTCATACTACGCCAAGCAACTTCTTTTTGATTATATAGACAAAACCTAGAAGTAATCTCAGTTCTCACACTCACTCCATCAACCTCAAGAACTGTTCTCGGTCTGAAAGTTGGAAAAACCAATACCATCAAAATCTCAACTATTTCTTGACATGCGCTATTTTTTTTCCACTCTTGAGTGCCAGTTACCACAAACACACACTTTGAGGGAAGACACATAGGGCTGACGTTTAGTATAACTTCAAACTAAAAGCTGGATTTTTTGTTTTTTTGAGAACTACACTGCTATTCCATCTTATCTACCTTACAGTACAACCTGAAATAAAATGGTTGAGGAAGCTCTTCACCAGCACCATGTATTATGCCAGAGCACAGATGGTTTCAGAGTGAACTGATATAAAAGTAGAGTAACTCTGCATTACTTCCACCTTTGAAGCTAGTCTACACCTTCAAAACTGTTAAAAAAATTTTTTTTTAAATCCAACCTGGGAATTAGCCCTGAAAAATAGAAGCGCAAGTCACCCTGAGAGTCAGCAGCTAAACTATGAACTCAGATTATATAGATAATAGAAAGAATGGAATTCCTTTGTCTCCTGGTTACCCAATGCACTTGAGTGGGATGAACACACTATCCAGGCCATCTGTACCCAACAAAAGAGGTAACTGAGAGGTTGTCTGAGTTTAGGGGTCCTAACTTTAACATTCACACCCAGAACCACCTCTTCTGTTTGAAAATAGCAGAGGCCCAAGGGATAGCTTTTTCACATGAAACTCTCTACTGTCTCCTGCAAGTCTTCTGAGTTTCTACAAGTGAATGGAGAGGAGGAGGGCAGTCCGCTGAATACGGGGACACATGTCGGCCTCATCACCTTTTGGGTACCTCATTCATACTCACCAAAAATTGAGCTACATGTTCATACCTAACATGTAGATGGATTTTTAAATTATGATTCCTGGCCTTAAAGAGTCCACACAAAAGGCAATCAGGACAAACTGAGGCACTGTAGTCATACAGAAAATTACAAAGTCTATGCACATACCCTGCTTTCAAAACTATCAATCAGTTCTTGAAACGACAGCATCTCATACTAATGAGACAGACATATATAGTAGGTCTAAGTCTCTTCTGCCTCAAAACAAAGAAAAGTGGTAATTTTTAATAACTAAACAGATCTGGGTATTCCTCAAATGAAAGCACAGCTGCTCTCATATTCCTAAAAGAGAGTAAGACGTACGTATTCACAGGCTCAAAAATTGGAGGTGACTTTAAAATGCTCAACTTTTTGAAAAGTTAAATTCCAATAAATAAATGTTTACAACTTTAAAACAATGAGATTTTAGCAGCACCTCTTTCTGAAATTCAGTAAGAAACTCCTCAGTGAGTCATAATTAGTCACCATTTTAAACTGTATTAGTCCTTGAGATTATATAAAAAAACAGTGCGATTTCTGTAAGTATTTTTTGGCTGTTGTATAAATAGGCAATCACCAAAAGTGAGCTGGGAGGCAAAAAGCAGTCCAGGAGAACAGGCATAATTAGCATGCATAAATAGAATTCTGATTTAAACTAAAAAATAAGTAAACTCTTCCACTAAAATGGCCAGTAGCCAAATTTTCTTTCTTTTTAGCTAAAATTTTTGGAAAGTATTAATAGCGAAGATATGGAAATACATTTTATGTGAAAAATGCATTTAACACTTTTATTACTTTAGTGCTTGTGAGGGAGAAAGGGGAAGAAATGAAAATCTTATGAAGAAAGTGTAATGACCAGTTTTGCACCAGGAGGAGATAAATAAAATGGTATCGAGCAGAATTTGGGTTACACGTGAAGGAGAAATTCCCTTATCTCACAATGCTTGATAGATTATCACGAAGAGAAATTGTAGACATTACTGACATTACCAGCGGCTTGTGGACAGAATACATGACTAAGATTACTTTAAGATAACTAAGTAAACCCAGTAATAAATTTTCAAAACATGATGCTCATTAGTGGTCAACTCTTAGATAGTCACCAACAGCAAGCAGCAGTTAAATGGAGTATTAGCGAGTAGAATTCCAAGGGAAAAAAGGAGTAAGCCCCCACTGAATAGTCCATGAATAATACTTATCCAAATAGGTTTATTGGTATAGATTCCTCTCGATTAGAAAGTAATGTCCTAACACTCCCCATTTTATTGGAATCAAGCACATAATCCAGTTGGTCTGTTATCTTTGGACTGTATTCCAAGTGCTACATGCTTTTAGACATACCCAACATGCCTCCTAACAAGGTACGTCTTATTCAAAAGTGAAAACTGTGCCAAAAGGTTCAGGTTTTAACATCAGTCACTAGCCAGAGCTTGGTCTTCAGACTAAAGGGCTTATTCCTCTCAAACAGGATTCCAGATGGCTTGCACCCAGGTGCCAATGAGCAAGAGCATGGCCTGAAATTAAGCACTGATCCTGCGACCCAATGGAAACTTTGGCTAATTTATTTACGCATTTATGTTTTTTACTAACTTGCTCATTCCAGATATCCTGGAGAGCAAGAGAAATGCTCTCCAGGTTATCCTATCCAAAAAATACTTAATGCTCAATAACTTAAAAATACAAAATGGGCATCAAAAAAAGATCCAGTCATTCTTATTTTACTTTAAATGCGTATTAAAATATCTACATAGCCAGGTTGCCTCCCAGAGTCAGTGCTTATCTTGAGCACACTAAGCTTCAGAAATCAAGGGCTTATCACTGGAAAAGCAAGAGTATAATCTGAAAGGTGTCTGTAGCATCTCTAATTATGGGTGTCCACAACCAAGGTCTTACATGATTACCAGATACTACCGATTTCAGATGGGAAAGCCTTGTGGAACCACCTTGCCTGCCTCAGAAAGAACCAAGGACACAGAAAGCAGCTCAAGCACCTACCAGCATATAGCGTAGAACAGCGCCAAGACCCAAGAAAAACTTACATGGTAACTTACATGGCGGTGGGGATAAGCCATTTCGATTTAAAGTGCCCCCCATTAACACAAAGTTCATCTCCTCAGCTGAACACTGAAAGACTTCAACATATCTGTCCTTCATGGTTTTTTTATGACACTTCTGTGCAGCCATAAATGCTCTGTCCGCAGACTTCATCTGGATAAAGGCATCTCCTGATGGGCGGCCCTGAGCGCGTGGGGGAAGAATAGAAACAAAAGGAGACTGTCTCCTTCAACAAGGAAATGGTTGCTTTCAAAACATGCAAAGCGACAATCACCCATAGTTACAGACATTTTAGCCACAAAATCTGGGTGACAGTGTGGTTTATGGAAATCTGGCTTGCATTATTTCATCACCTAATTACCAGAATGGCCCACAAAACGTAGAAGACACAGTTTTGAGAGGTCATAGCTGAAAGTGATCCTTTTTGGTTTCTATTCCTATCAGATTTACAAGGTCTTGGAAAGGTCTCCTTGTGACTGTGGTTTCAAAGTATAGGATTGTGTATTGGGCTTTGCACTCTGAAAAACCCAATTCTAACATTTGGTTGAGAAAAGCTGGTGACAGAACCAGTGTTAGAGCTTTGTGTGTGCTCCTACGAGAAACTGAATCAACTAGCGTTCTGTCGGCTCTAAGTTCTGGCCGTCACTGACCTGCAACATCCCTTTCCTTTCCCCCAGCAGCCCAGGTTGGGACGTGCCTTGGGGAAAGGGGAGGGAGACAGGAAATTGGCAGTTGCAAAGCACAGCGAAGGTTGGTTACAGCTCTATCATCAGCCTTGCATGGGAGCCCTTCTCTCACCTCTGCCCATGTGCTTCCATCTTCCATCTTGGCCAGGCAGGTGTGGATAGTAATTTTCTCTATGACTAATAGCTTGCTAAAAATCTCCTATTTAAAGCCAAGCTGACAGATTTGTTCCACAGAACTGCAATGCTTCACTTTTATTTAGCATGGACATTTTATGGGGGAGAGAAAGATACAATCAGCTTATAAGATTTCTTCCTTATGAATGGATTTCCTTAAAAGCCTCTGAGGGACTATGCAGTGCAAATTATTACCATGCAAGTTACCATACGAGTTACCATACCAGGGAAATTAGGGACACCAGGGAAACCCAGTCCAAGATGGAAACCTAACACCTTCGAGACAGCTAAGAGCCTGTCCATAATCTAAGAAGCATTTCTCCCAAGTGCAATCACAAGAGGCCCTGTGGGTCAGTGGTAGGTGAATCTGTCTATGGTTATTAGTGAAAGAGCAATGATAGCCCCTGGGTCATTAGAAATGGTGACTGCCTGTACCCAGTGCCATGCACTTTCCAGTGAGACGGGATTATGGCTGTGAATGTGACCAAATCCCCATGTGAAGAGAGAAAGTGGAATACTAGCCATTTAGAAAAACATTGGTATTTCCCATACAAACCTACACTCAAATCATCATTCATCAGAAACACCTCATTTTCAAAAATTAATACAACCCTGCTTTTAATAAAGAGTGCCAAAATTTTAATTAGGACTACAGGGTTTATAGGTTTTGAGAATTGTCCTGCTTGTGACGGCAGAAAATACTGGCATACTGTCCAGCAAAAAGGTGATCAGTTTTCTTTAAACCAAAAATCAAGGGACACTAAGCCAGGAACAACTTTTAATATCCTTAGAATATATGCCTGTATACCAGAGAATTTGGTTAGATTTTGATAGAGGTTTCTACTAAACAATTCATTCATTAATACATTTGAGTGCCTGTTATGACCACACTCTAAGTGGTGAATGCAGACACTAATCCTTACTGAGTTTGCACTTTACTGAATGTAATTTGGTATCTAAAACACACACATATATAAAATAAGCCGTTTCTAAACAGTCTATGGATAAAAAATACTCTTGAACACAGACAAGCTCATGGATTTACGTACTGTCCGTGACTGCAGAGCTCAGTAGCTGCAACAGTAAAATGTTGTCTTAGATGGACAATGTCCTATGTGATGCCTTTGAGAATTTGATGGATGGATGTGACGACAGAATCAGACCCAAATTTCGATGATCATACCCATGGCCGCGTTCTTCCTGGAGTTCAGCTTAAAGACCTCTAGCATTTACAGTTACATCTTTCCTTCAAGACTTGCTATAAAACTGCACTTGTATTCTTTTATTGGAAGGCACTCTTTGATGATAAAAATAAGCAACTCAGTTTCCAAGTAAGCGACTCTTACCTGGTGATTCAATACCATGTGAACCCCGTGAGTTCGGATATCTGTGGAAAACTCCCCTAGAAAGTCCAGGATGTCCTCAATTGTGGCCGCATAGGGAAGACCGCGAAGGCGTATACAGTCTCTAACATTTGTAGGGGGCACAAACTGCTGAGGTAGTACTGGAATAATGGGGGGGGTTGGAAGTGGAATGAGAGGAGGAGCCGAGGAGAATCGATTCAGCACCTGTACTCAAAGCAAAACAGAAGTGATTTAGAGTCTTGCTAAGCCAACGCTGTCTGCAGACCAGCCTGGGAATCCCTGGGGAGCCTGTTAGAAATGTATAATCTCAGCTCTACCCCAGATCCAGTCAATATAAATCTGCATTTTAACAAGGTCCCCAGGTGATTCATAGCACATTAAAGTTTGAGCAGCACTCACGGAGGAAGGGATTCATGCTTTTCATCTGGGCAAGCATGACAGCCACGTTTGCCAAATGCGTGCCAAGGCATATACCACACCCAGCACAAAAGCACTTAGTTTAAGGACTTGTCTATTCGACCATTACATCACTATCTGCCTTGGGACAAATATCCTTAAAGTCTGCCACTTTCATAAATATCTGGAATTACTAATTGTGGACTATTGTAGCAATCTATTAGATTTCATTTTACTAAGTACAATAGTCCACTTAGTATTGCTTTACATTCTACCTCCAAACCTAAGAAGTATAAAGAAAATAACCCAGAGTAATGGAACCACAGGTAAAATGGTGACTCTGGATTATATGAAAATATGATGCCACATTTATAAAGCAAGTAATATATAAAGCCAAAAGATAGAATGGTAATATACAACGGAAAAAAATAATTTAGTCTCCATAAAAATAACCACTTAGTTTCCATGTGAACTTTAGACACAGGCAAGACAGAGGATCTTGACTATTAAATATGTGAAATTAAACTATCTTGAGAATGAACGAGGCCAGGTACATTTTGGAGAGAAAAAATTGTTCCCAGGCAAAACTCAAAGTTCTTGCCTATTTTTGTCTTAGTTTAGAATATGCCTACTGGTTGCTAATATGAGAAGGTCCTCGTGCAAACACCGCGTGTGGCATCCCTGGGTTTTCTGAACAATTCACCATTGCAAACTTTATCATCCTATAAACTGAAAATACAGAATTGAGGAACTCCTGGAAATCTGCCCTAATTTCCTCACACCCTGTCCAGTTGCTATCTGAGCAAGAGGTGACCAAAAAAAAAAAAAAATTCCAAAGAATACAAAATACAACCAAAGAAATTTTATCACAAGACAGCACGACTTTTAAAAATTATACAAACAGTCCAGAAGCAGCAAACACTAGGGAAAGAACACAAATAGACAATTACTGTGGTTTGACAGCCAAGCTACTACTAAAGATGATGGGATTTGGTTCGGGTAAGGAGTGGGATCTACCCTATGAAGTATCAGATTTCATTTATAAAGCATTAGTATTAAGAGGGCATGGATTTAGCACAGAGTTTCTATTAAACCAACAGGACATACTGGAGAACCCAGAAAGAGACACAGCATGGAGTCTTGATTTTTGACAGGGTGCACTTTGCAGATCAGATGGAAGGATGAACTATGGTGCTGGGCTAATTGGGTATCCATGTGGAAAAAAGATGAAATTAGATTCCCCTCATCAAAAATCAATTCCAGGTAGGATAAACACTTAAATGTGAAAGGCAAAACTAGAAAGCTTTTAGAAGACAACATACAAGTACATCTTTATGCCTTTGAGATAAAAAAAATCATGTTCAAGAGTTTTAAAAATTGTGTTCAAGATTCCCATAAGGGAATATATACTATAACAAAGCACTCCCGTTCATCAAAAGACACCGCAGAGTAAAAAATACAAACTACAGATAATTCATATTCAAAATATTAAGAACTCCATAACTTAATAAGAAAATAATAAATAAGCCAGTAGGAGGGAAAAGCAGAGAAAGAACACGAACAGGCATTTCACATAAGCAGGGAGTGAAATACTTGGAGACGGAAGATTTGACTTCTGTGGTGGGCACACAATGTGAAAAAAGGAAAAGGAAAGTGGCTGCCGACAAACCTGGGGCGGGAAATGGTCTAGCACCTACAGAACCTGCCAAACTGGAGGCGCGCAAATAGTTACTGAATGAAATATCATTAGTAACGAAGACAGTGCAGAGTCTGTGACTACTTCCAATCTTATTAAATAAATCATTAGGAATAGGGGGCTGGAGAGGAAGATCACCCACACTCAAAACCACCTTATGCTAGGGTCACATAGAGGCAGCACACTCTACACCTAAAACAATCAATATAAAGTAGCCAAGGCCCTGGGGTAGTCAATTCCAGTCTATGGTTTCCATGAAATCGGTCTTCAAATTAAAAATCTCATTAGCCCAGCTGGCGTGGCTCAGCGGTTGAGCATCGACCTAGGATCCAGGAGATCGAGGTTCGACTCCCAGTCTGTGCACACGCCTGAGTTGCAGGCTCCTTGATCCCCAGCAGGGGGCGTGAAAGAGGCAGCCGATCAATGACTCTCATCACTGATGTTTGTCTCTCTCCCTCTCCCTTCCTCTCTCTGAAATCAATAGACACATATATATATTTTAAATCTAATAAAAACATCTCATTTTCTCTCTCTAGCTTGGGAAGGATGTAGGTAATGTTTGAAGCCCCAAGCATGGTCAGCATATTTTAGAGATTCAGAATCTGATATTCATTTTCAACAAGGTACAGACTTATTTAATTATTTTAAGTCACAATATACGATGGGCTTTGCAGAAGCTACACAGAATCATTTTATGAACTCACAGAAATAATAGCAGAATCAGTGCTCTAACTGCTCGCAAAAAAGCCCAAAGGAATCATTAAAACGACTATGTTCTACTGCAGGGCCCAAGGAGAATAAGCTGAAAGAGCCTTATGAAGCTGTCTACAGGATGCCTCCAAGGGAACCCTAACCCCCGAAGAGAAGTGTTCAGCTGGTGAGTCAGGAAGAGAAGTCAAAAGTCTTGAGACTCCACACATGGTTTCATGCGTAGATTCTTACAATGTTTTCAGGAACTGATTATCCCATTTGTGCCTCAAAAACAACTCTGAATTCTGAACGTAACAGGACAAAAGAACACTTTACACTGCCACCAACAGTGTGGAATTGATCAAGCTTATTGGGAATTAAACTTGGCAAGACATTAGAAATACAAACCTTAAAAGCTCATGTCCTATATTCAGTTGTAAAGAAATCAATCAGAAACTGAGTTTTATAAGCACGTTTATCTAGAAATTCCTAATGGTAGGGAAAAAAGCCAATCGAAATGCACAACAGAATTTCTAAATAAATTATATGAACCTCCATGAGACATATTAACTTAAATATAAATTTCTTTTGGACAAGAGTAAACTTTCAAGATACATAGTTTTGAAACAGAATACAAAAGTAATTCTATACCAGTACTCCAGTTATATAAAAACACGTGGTATTTTTTCTGTGTGTACGTAAGCCAACAGCGGCTATCATTTGGTTATGGAGTAAGATTTTATTTTAACAATGAGTAATGCAGGGTTAGTTTCAGGAATAAATAGAAACAGTGCAAAACCACCAACATGCTATTAAAAACCAACCTGCTGAACTTCAGCCGCTGTGCTCCTGAAGAGCTCAATGTATCTTTTACCCAGCAAGTCCTTATGCTTCCTCAGTGCGTTCTGTGCATACTCCTCGCAGGCAAAGAGCACGAAAGCATCCCCTGTGGGCCTACCGTCTGGGTAGGTGACAAAGAGGATGCCCTCCTTGCCCCCCGTGATGGGGCAGTGCTGCCCAAAGAAGGCCACCACTTCATCGGCTGTGGCCGTGAATGGGAGCCCCCGCATGCGGACAATGACTTGATTTTCCTTGGAGAGAAACTGGGCTACCTCATTGGATGTACCTGGGAAACACAAATGTTAGGAAGCATGGGGAGAAATGATTAAGACACCTACTTTACCAAATTTAAAACAGTAAAACCCCTGGCCATGTCTTGAATCCATAATTAAGACCCACACTCCCAAGTGAATTGATAACAGCCACCCAGGAAAAAAGAACTCTCTTCCCAGAGACTTAAAACTTTCCCCCTAACCATTGTCATAAGCACGCCTCAATTAGGAGGACAGCCAGACAATTAAATTATGGACCAACCACCATATTCTTCTCGTGGAGAGGCAATTACTGATCACGGTGGTTAAGGGCACAGGTCCTGCAGCTAGAGTGCCTGGGTCCAATCTTGGCTTTACCCTTTTACTAGGCTATGACTTTAGTAAAGCTTAGCCTCTGTGACTTCCTTTCCTCCTCTATAAAGTGAAGGTAAAATTACCTCTCTCATAAATTAAAAGAACAAGTTATTATGTATAAAGTACTTTGGTGATTTCTGTTGTTATTTTTCTGATTACTTCTTATTACAAAAGATTAAAACACACTCAAGTGGAGAGAATATTGTAATGAATATACTTGGCAGTTAGTTTCAACATTTGTCAACATTCCGCCTGACACAAAGCATTCTGCACAGTAAGGCCACGTAGCAAATACTCAAATGCACATCACTCAAGCTCATACTCTAGTAACACTTTCCCTTAACCCTACTGCCTACATACCATGAAATCCCAGGCATTAACTTGAACATTAATTAACTTTGCCACCTGCATCTTACAATGTTATCGACCATGGAACCTCAGAATCATAGCAATCCAAAATATACTTTATCCCTAACCAATACCAAACAGTATTAAACTTGAAACTCTGAATTTGGAAGCCTGGGTTTATCTCAGGAAACAAGTGCTAGAACAGAATTATAACAGCAAACTGTGTAAACAGGATGCTGTTACTACAAGTTCTACAATTGCAAAGATTTTTACCAGGGCTATATAACAAATGGTCTCTGTCTGTAAGTGAAAGTCACCCTAGTATATTTTGGCAAAAGGGGTCAAAAGCCACTTAAAAGGGTCACCCACAATCTTTGATTCCAGTATCCCACTTTTAGACATGATCCTAATGAGTGGCACATACAGAGGTACAAAAATACTCACTGCAACATAAGTGAGTGTAAATGCGCAACAGGGATGCTTCATAAAAATTCATGGCACGTAAAATACTGAATAGCAACTAACATTTAAGAGAACTGAGTAACACAGGAAGATATTCACTATACTCAAAGGAGTGAGGGGGTTATAAAGCAACCTGAACAGAGCCACAGAAACTTATGGAGTAGTTGCACATATAGAAAAAAATCCGTTGGACAAATCATAGTTAACATTTTTTTATGCATCAGTTATTTTAGGTTTGAAAGTTATAAATCACTCCAGAATTAGATAAAGACTTTATCTGTTCCCGCTTCTTCCTGGCCATACTACTCCAAACACTACATTCCCCCAAAATACCAGATGCCGGAAAGCTACCATGTTCACTGGCCACTGATGAATTTAGGACATTTCGAGAAAAACTAGAAGCAGATACTGAACAACTGCAGGTATTCCGCTTGGCTGTTCACAAGCAGTTCTCAGACTGCTCCGTTTCTTCCAAGAGCTACGCCCCTTTCACCTCCAATAGTGTCAGGCCACGTTTAGCGGCAGTTTCACTAAAGGCTTCCACTCACAGCCGTAGGGCCAGGGTGAGGCACTTACTGACACTACTGGACAGCTTCTTCCTCCTACCAAAATAAGATTAAAAAATTGATTCCTATGTTTCCCTGGGAACTAGAAAAATATAAAGCCACTCAGGTCCCTGCTTCTTCTAACCTTGGTCTATACATAAAGCTTGTAAGTCCCCGCCACAGCCACGTTTCGTAAAAGGCACTCACCACCAGCAATTTTAAGAAAGTCCTCGCCAGTGGCTCTGTAAACCTGGGGAAAGAAAGGGCCGTGAGCACCGCGCCGCCGCGCCCCCGCGGGCCCCGGTCCGGGCGCGGGACGCACCTCGATGTAGC